TTGACCACCTCTGGTTCTCTTCCACCCTTCACGCGGTTGTGCTAAAAGAGCCCTTCGAGGAAGTCGGCCGACTGGCATACGCAGCACGTGACCAAGGCAGCGCAACCTATGCAATGTGATCAGTTCACCTATCGAGGGTGAGTTATTTCTCCCGAATGTCGATGTCATTCGATGAACTTCAGCATTGCTGGTCCGGTGTTCCCACCAGGTTCGAGCAGTGCTCCGAAGACATCGATGGTCAATCACTGAAAGTCTTTTGACGTCCTCGGCATTCAGCGGCCAGGTTTCTGATTCGTACAGTAGTATGGGGCGAACCGCAGCACTGTAAACTCGACCCTTTACGGATAAGCTGATGTCACGCATCCGCCACAGGTGACGCAGGTTCACAACTGCTAATCTGGCCTTCCCAATTCGGATGGAAATGTCATCCTTCGCGGGACCACCGGCACTGACAGCTGCCAGGCAGACTAATTTGTCTACTACCTCAAGCGGCTCATCCACAACCACGGGGCTAGGGTCCTACCCAGTCTCACAGTAGCACTTCACACTTTGCCGGTGTGAATCGCATGCCAAACCGTTAATCGGAATCATTTATATTATTTAATATTCTTTGCATCGCTACGCATTGGATCCCAGAAGAGCTGTGTCATCTATGCACTCAATATCTATGAGCGGACGCCCCGGGAGAACTTCAACTTCACAGTCATTACAGGCTTATAGTGAGTCTTCCATAATCATATCATTGACGAAGCCGGATAGGAAAGGTGAAAGAGGACGGTCCTGTCGGACACCACTTGATGTGGTGAACTCGGGAGAGAGCTTCCCGTAAACCTGCACACAGCCGCGGAAGTTGGCGTACAGCGCCTTAATGAGGGTCAAAAATTTATGGGGGACACCTCTGCTCCATAGACATTAACATAATGCCTGAAGGTCCATAGAGTAAAAATCAGCTTTCAAATCAAGCAACACAAACATTGTTGGAAGGAGTGCCGCTGTTCCATAATCTGTCGAGATCCCAGAAGAGCTGTGTCATCTATGCACTCAATATCTATGAGCGGACGCCCCGGGAGAACTTTAACTTCACAGTCATTACAGGCTTATAGTGAGTCTTCCATAATCATATCATTGACGAAGCCGGATAGGAAAGGTGAAAGAGGACGGTCCTGTCGGACACCACTTGATGTGGTGAACTCGGGAGAGAGCTTCCCGTAAACCTGCACACAGCCGCGGAAGTTGGCGTACAGCGCCTTAATGAGGGTCAAAAATTTATGGGGGACACCTCTGCTCCATAGACATTAACATAATGCCTGAAGGTCCATAGAGTAAAAATCAGCTTTCAAATCAAGCAACACAAACATTGTTGGAAGTAGTGCCGCTGTTCCATAATCTGTCGAAGGGTGAAAATTTGATCGATGCACCTTTCAGGACGGAACCCAGCTTGGCTATCACGGATCTGCTTTTCCCTGTGATCAGTCAACCTTCGAAGGATAAGGCCAGAGGGCACCGCCGATGCCGCAGCTTGGTAGAGACCGTTCGGTCATGCTATCCTCTACGTTTTAGTACAGATAATCCGTATTTTATTCCCACGGGAGATTCGGGTCTGCCCGTATGCATGTTCTCCACAAGCTGGGTTGCAGGAGGCCAGCTAAACTGTTCATTAAAGCGTTAAGCCCATCTTTTCATGCGAATTTTGCTGGTATGGATTTCCTGGCATCGATCTCGACGACATACAGTAGTCCTGTGATCGAATGGAAGAAGTCTGACAGACAGCAATGAACACAGCTCCTTTCACATTTTGCCACGCTTCAACCACCAGCTCATCAGTACACCATTGGTTTACTGTAGAGAGTTGTTGGGCTAGCTCAGATCGATACTGTTGAGCTATGGTAGTTGTTTGAAGACAGTGGATTGGCATGCTTTTCGGTGACTTGCGAGAGCCTGAAGGCAAACGAACTGTCAGGTGTGCACGCACCATGGCGTGATCGGAATCAGGTGGTGTGCTCCAGAAGGGACGGCAGTCTTGAATTATGGCTCTCCACCGATGGCTGATGGCCACGTGGTCCAGCTGGATCCACGGTTTATTTACAGTTGATGGTTGCCAGGCTACGTGGTGCAAACGCTTATGTTGAAAGTTCGTACTTGCCAGAAACAGTTCATGGTCAGCACACAACTGAAGGAATCGATCTCCGTTGTCTTTGCGGCAAGCATCCACTTCGTATCGACCGCCCAAATGTGATTCCAAGGAGCTCAGATGACGGACTTGTTCATTAATATCCCAGCAAGGATCACAAAGTCAATGCATTTTGCTTGACGAATGAGCCCGGGTAGCTCTCGATGAAAAGTATCCTTCGCCGACCTTTTCTAACCAGTTCTCAGCCTATAGATGATGATAAGCTATTATTTCACTTGTGTGCTGATTATGGTTCATTCCTAACCAGTACAAACTTTCAGCACAAACGGCCACACCGAGTTACTTGGGTACTTTCAACCGCTAGACAGGCATGGATTCAGTTAGATCATGTGACTGTCAGTTACCAATGGAGGGCCTCAATTAGGGATTGTCGTTCCTTCTAGGGCCCGCAACCTAAATCTGATTGATC